TGAATTCATCAGTAGAAGTCTGTGATACTAAACGTACAAAACAGAGTCAGATATTAAACGGAGGTAATATTCGTTATGATATTTGAATTCATCAATACAAAATAGTCAGATATTAAGCGGGGCAATATTCGTTATAATATTTGAATTCATCTGTTAAAGTCTGTGCTACTAAAGTACAAAATATTGTTGATTCTTTGTCGTCTGACCAGAAATGATATTGAAATTATAATGTGGATGTTCTGTGCCTTTTCCACGGTCACTATGTATACACATATATGGGCATTGCTGTTCAAAATCTATTAATAAATTTTGAATGTTCTCTTGTCCTTGCTTTATATGTTCTGTTCCTGTAGAGTTAGTATGATATACATAAACATCTGATTTTTTTTCTGTTTTGTTTGATGATATTGGGTAAACACATAAACATGCACACGGATAAACACATAGATAAATACACACACACACACACACACCACACACACACACACACACACACACACACACACACACACACACACACACACACACACACACACACACATACACACACACACACACAACAATCGCCAACCTTCCCAAGACAAGAAATACCACACTAACAATTCTAATGGTAATAATGATATTAATAATTATAATAATTGTAACAATGATGATGATAATAATACTTGTATTGATAGTAATGATGATAATAATGATAATACTCATAATAGTAATCATGATAACAGTAAACATGATTAAAATAATAGTTGCAATGATAATAACAATGGTAATGATAATAATGATAATGATAACAATAACAGTAGTAATGATAATTGAAACAATAATATTAATTGCCAAACTCTTTTCTCTTTCTCTATTGCAACTTCTCCTCCTCCTCCTCCTTACCTCCCTCCACCTCCTTCTTCTACTCCTCCTCCTCTTCCTCCCCTCCATCTCCTGCTCCCTTCCCTCTCTCCTCTCCCCTCCCCTTCCCTCTACCTCCTACCTCCTTTTCCCTTCCTCACTCTTCCTTCTCCTCCTCCTCTTCCTCCCTCTATCTCCTTCCTCCTACCTTCCTCTTCTTCTCCCCATCCTCCTCTACCCCCCCATCCTCCTCCTACCTCCTTCCAAACCCCCCCTCCCCCCCACAGGACGACCGTGCAAGGATGATCAGGAAGAACTTTGCTCGCTACATCAACCTCGCCTTCGCCCTCGCCTTCTCCAGGATCTCCCCTCGAGTGGCGCGTCGTTTCCCCTCGTATCAGCATTTCATTGAGGCAGGTCGGTGTTGGGGAGGGGGGAGGAGGGGTGAGGGGTGAAGAGGAGGAGGGGGGAAGGGGAAGAGGGAGGGGAGAGGGGGAAGGGAGGGGAGAGGGGGAAGAGGGACAGGGAGGAAGGGGTGGGGGAGAGGAGGAGGGGAAGAAGGGGTGGGGAGAGGAGGAGGAAGGGGAGGGAGAGGGACAGGCAGGGAGAGGGGAGGAGGGAGTGGGTGAGGGGAGAGGGGAGAGGGGGAGGGAGAGGAAGAGGGGAGGAGGAGGGGTGGGGTGTGCGGGGAGGAGGGGAGAGGGAGGGAGAGGGGAGAGGGGTGAGAGGGAGAGGGAGAGGGGAGGAAGGGGTGGGGAGGAGGAGGGAGGGGGAGAGGGGATGAGGGGGGAGGAGAGTGGGGATGAGTGAGGAAGAGGAGGGGTGAGAGGAGAGGGACAGAGGAGAATGGGGTGGGGGTGAGGGGGAGGGGAGGAGGAGGGAGATGGGAGGAAGGGGTGGGGAAAGGTGAAGTAGGGGTGAGGGGAGGACGGGGTGAGGGGTGAAGAGGAGGGGGAGGAGGGAGGGACAAGGAGGAAGGGGTGGCGGTGATGGGGAGGCAGGGGACAGGGGAGGAAAAGGTGGGGTATGGTGAAGTAAGGGTAGGGGAGAGGGGGGAGAGGAAGGGAGTGAGGGGAGAGGGAGAAAGGAAAGTGGGGGAGGAGGGGATAGGCCAGGGGAAGGAGGGGGAGAAGGCCAGGGTGAGGGAAGGGAAAAGGGGAGAGGGGGAGGGGGCAGGAGGATGGGAGAGTCGGTGAGGGGAGGGGTAGGAGGGGGAGGGAGAGGTAGAGAGAGGGAGAAGGGTCAGAGGAGGGGGAGGAGGGGAAGGCTTCTATTTAAAGACTAATATGATTTTTTTCCCCACATAATCGTTTTTTTTTTTTTTTTTTTTTTTTTTTAGTTTGGTCCCGCGTTTCTGTCAAATGTTCGCGTGGGTTTGCTGTTAAGTGCTGTTTTTTATCTATTTCTAAGCTGGTGAGAGGTAATATCTATCTATCTTTAGCGCGTCTATCTACTTTCATCATGGCTGAGATACTTCGTTTTTGTCTAAATCCAGGGTGACGCGAATGATAAAATTATCTATTTTTTCACCGTGTCGGAACTGGCAATCTTACCTATCTGAAGCGTGGTCTAAGTGACAATTTTATCTATTTTCAGCGTGTGTTAAGGGGATAACTTAATCTAATTTCAGCGTGTCCTGAAGGGCAATTTTATCTATTTTCAGTGTGTGTTAAGGGGATAACTTAATCTATTTTCAGCGTGTCTTGAGGAATATCTGTCTCTTGTATATCAGCACTGATAGCGTGACCTGTTATCAGTGTGTCTAGACTTATATATAACTGAGACCCTTCTATATCATTTTTCCTTGGAGTTCGATGCAACACCTCTGAACACACTATAACCGCCTTTCTTAATCACTTACAGTCGCTTCGTTAAAATTGTGCCAAGCCAGTTATTATTCGTATATACAGACATACGTAAATACAGACAAAAATGCATATCTGTCTGATTGTCATATATATATATATATATATATATATATATATATATGTATATATATGTATATATACATTTATCTCTGTCTATACGGTAGATAATACACGTCTAGATGTTGGTCCTCTAACAATTTGAATAAGCCTACCGTTAATGACTTGTTCTCAACTAAATCGTTTGTAATTGCTGGTTAAATGACGTCAGCGAATTCGCATTTGTGAATCTGAGTTGGGACGTGTTTTTTTAAACTGAATTAATAAATAGATAAGTCAAAAATCAATCAGAATGACGAAAAATTAATTTAATTTCCATTCGGAGAAATCTGCCTCGGTGTGATTTCCATTTCACTGGAGACGAAATAAGACACTTTTCCTTCTTTTGTTGACACTCGAAAGACCTCCTTCGGTGATTGTTCTGGGATTGTTTCTCTTGTCGAAGTTCTCTCTCTCTCTCTCTCTCTCTCTCTCTCTCTCTCTCTCTCTCTCTCTCTCTCTCTCTCTCTCTCTCTCTCTCTCTCTCTTTTTTACTCTTTCGAAGACAGTCTAAGGTTCCTGGAATTAGTGTGGTGTTGTTTTCCATGTTGCTATAATATTTCGTTGAGTTTGTATTTATTATTTCCTGCTTGACCTACATAGCGAAACCGTCCCTTTAAAAGCTTTAATAGAACAACAATTCACCCTTCGTAAGTATATGTCACATATTTACCTATTGCACAGATTGCAGATTTCTCGTCCTTCTCTAGGTTATAGTAAAGGCTGTAGCAGCGAAGGCTTCAGTGGGTGGTATTAAAGTGTTATAATTACAAATACTCCATCGTTCTATAGGTTACAGTTAGATACTTCTTGAAGGTTAGAGGAGAGAAGGCTACAGTGGGTGGTATTACAGTGTTATAATCACAAATATTTCGTCGCTTTATGGATACTTCGTGAGGGTTACAATAGAAAAGTTACAGCAGGAGGCATATGCGTGCTATTATTTACATCCAGTTAATTTCTGTCGTTCAATAAGAACCTTGACATCTTTTTTATCATCCTATACTCTATTTATGGATTTACTTGTTCTTATTTACCTATTCCTTTATTTTGTTTACCTATTTATCTATTTATTTCGTTTCCTCACACATTCATTCATTCACCAATGTATTTTAAGCACTCATATATCCACTCAATTCATCAACTCACTCCGCTGGTTTATTCATCCATTTTGCTCATTCCTTTCTTTTCCCATAATTCCCCCCTAAGGCTACATGACCCACGGCGAGAAGGCAATCTTCGAGATGATGGACGAGCAGACCAAACACCACAAGATCTGGATGCCTCTCTCGTGGGCGTGTCAGCTGACGGTGCGGGCGAGGCAGGAGGGGCGTGTCCCAGATGACTACGGGCAGGAAGCGATAATCCATGAAGTGACGAACTTGAGATACAATTGCGGGAAGCTTCAAGAGTACCATCACATGAGTGTGCCTCTTGTGTACACGCAGGTAAGTTGGGTGGTGTGTAAGACACAATATTGGTGTATAATGTTGTTTGAAATATATAATGTATTATATATATGATATATAATGTAGTTTATAATAATAATAATGATGTATGATGTTGTTTGGGTTTTGTGTGTATGATGAAGAGAGGGATACATATATACCAATAGATGGATGCAATACACTACACGCACAAACGCATAAATAAATACACAAAAATACATACAGAAACACACACGCACCTGCATGATCAAAGACACACACACGCACATAAACACACACAAATACTAGCAAACACACATACACCAACAAATACACACACAAACACGATCAACCACACACACAAACACACATACGGATATTTGTATCTCAGCACACTCGCTATTCCACTCCATTATGTTTCCTCGACACCCGCATTCTCTTCACATCATATCCGGCTTGAATCGGTGACCTGACCTTGCTGATGCTTCGTTAATAAGTCGCCCTCAGCATCACTCTCCTGGTCTTGGGATAACACTATGTTGCCCCGATCATTTCAGCAGTATTGTTTACATTTTTTTGCTGTTGTTTTAGGCTTTCCGACTTATATACTCATTTTCAACCACTCAAAACTCTTAAATTAACTATTTCTTCAGTTCGTCTAAAGTGTTCCCCCAATCGCTTATTGCAACACTATCAAAAAACGAACGTAATACACATTCAAAGGGAAAAAAAAGGCCTATGTTGAACGTGTTTCCCTCAGCATACACCGAGAACATGCTGGATAGCGTTCAGCCTAATTGGCCCAATTTACTTAACATGAACCAAACTTCACTGAAATCCTTGCTCTTTATAATACGTTTGATCTCTCCTTATAATGAGTAAGGATTTTACTAAACACGATTCTTTTTTCTTTATTCCAAAGCACTTTTTCATATTGAGGGAGGAAAAGATACATTGGAAACACATATGGCTTTTGATGTAAACTTCCTGAATGCAGGCTTGGAAGCACAAAGTTTAAGTAAGGGGATTCATGCAATAATATATTATTTTCTTAATGAGCTGTTTATCTTTAGTTTTGCCTTTGATAATTGATTGTTTGATTTGAGCAGATAGAGGGAATAGTTGAGAGAGAGAGAGGGGGGGGAGGGGGGAGTTAGAGAGAGAGAGAGAGAGAGAGAGAGTTAAAGAAAAAAAATATGGATACAGAGACAAACCAGGTAAAGAGACAGAGACTTAAAGAAAGACAGGGAGAGACAGAAACAAGACAAGTAAAAGAAACAGAGCCAGACAGACATAGACAAAGACAAGACGGGTAAAGAAACAAAGGCAGAGAGACAGAGACGAAGAGACAGAGAAAGACATAGACGAAGACAAAAGAGATAAAGGAAGAAACAAAGAGACAGAGACAGACACAGAGACAGAACAGTAGAGAAGACAGAATAGACAGAGACAAAACAGGTAAAAAAAAACAAAGACAGCAACAAAATAAACAAAGAAACACCTTCAACTAACCCGTCTCCCACCTCACCTCTCCGTTCGTTCGTTCTCAGGTGGTGACCATGGCTACGTATTCCTACTTCGGCTTCGCAATCCTAGGCCGGCAGTTCCTAGACACTTCTCAGGGCTACGACAAACACAAGATTGATTTCTACGTTCCGATCTTCACTTTATTGCAATTCATCTTCTACGTGGGTTGGCTGAAGGTGGCCGAGTCGCTGCTGAACCCGTTCGGAGACGATGACGATGACTTCGACACGTGCGACTTTCTGGATCGTCATTTTGAGGTGGCGTTTTTTTATTCATTATTATTATTCATTTGTTTTTTTCTATCTTTCTCTCTTTCGCTCTTTCTAAATCTTTCTGTCTCTGTCTCTGTCTCTGTCTCTGTCTCTGTCTCTGTCTTTGTTTGTCTCTGTCTCTCGTCTTGTTCTGTTCTCTTCGTCTCTCTCTCTCTCTCTCTCTCTCTCTTCCTTCACTCACTCTCTCTCTCTCTCTCTCTCTCTCTCTCTTCTCTCTCTCTCTCTCTTCTCTCTCCTCTCTCTTCTCTCTCTCTCTCTCTCTCTCACTCCCTTCTCTCTCTCTCTCTCTCTCTCTCTCTCTCTCTCTCTCTCTCTCTCTCTCTCCTCCTCTCTCTCTCTCTCTCTCTCTCTCTCTCTCTTCTCTCTCTCTCCCTCTCCTCCCTTAGTTTCTTTACATCCATACACTTGTATAAATGTAATTCTCTATTTGTTCTTACTTATAAAGTTCAGTCACCAACTAAGTACGTACAAAAGCCTTACAAAAAGCCTTTTAAGATTCCCGAAACACCCTTTCGATCATTCCTTCGTATCCTCAGGTATCCTACATGATCGTGGACGTGATGCACAAGTCGTACCCGGAGACCCTGAACAACTACTGGGACAACAGTTCCTTCCAGCTCGCATCCGTGTCCAACGCTGGGGATCATCAGGGCTACAAGAACAACGCCCACAGCAAGAAGTCCCAGAACTCACAGAAAAACAACAAACAGGAGAAACTTTCTCCGGTGATTAAGGTAAGTGGGAGGTAGATAGGGTGGAGGGAGGAGGGAGGGGAGAGAGATAGGGAGGAGGGAGGGAGGTAGAGTAGATAGTAAGGGGAGAGTAAGTAAGGGAGGTAGATAGTAAGGGGGAGAGATAGAGGAGGGGGGAGGTAGAAGGGGAAGGAGGGGAGAGGAGGGAGGGTTGGTTGCTGGATGGATGGATTGGCCTTCAAGGTAAGAGCGAGTGTGTGTGAGGAAAGAGGGAGGTATGGGAAAGGGGTGACTGGTTGATCTCTAAGGTAAATGCGAGTGTGAAGGAAGAGGGGGGTAAGAGAAAAAAAAATATTGATTGATCTCTAAGGAAAATGCGAGGTAGGGAAGGAGGGAGGTAAGATAGAGAGTTGACTGATTGACCTCCAAGGTAAGGGCGAGTTTCTGCGGGGAAGGAGGGAGAGGTAAGAGAAAGAATTCATGGGTTGATTCGACCTCCATCCATGCAGTAGTTTTTTTTTCCATTCCTTTTGTGAAGAACTTTAGCTGGAGAGGTCGAGAGGGGAAAAGGAGGTCGACGCTGGGAATGGTTTTCAGGAATCAGGAATCATTTTGGAATCAGTCGTTGCTATGCATGTGCAGAGATGACGTTGACTGATAGCTTCTTTTATAAATTAAATTCGAAAAGTGACGGTTCCCCTTACATGAGCTCAAATGAAAATGGTGAATATATAAATATTTTTAGTTTTTTATATGATTGATATATTTTGGAAAGATGATAATGATAACCTAGGAATTATATGATTAACTGAATATATACTGAAAAGTTACCCAAGAGAAAGGACAGTAAATTTCGTAATTTGCATTTCCTTTGCTGTACAGACCAATAACATTACGTATAACATACCGTCGTAAGCATAGCAGTTTCCCGAAAATGCCACAAAAAAAAAAAAAAAAAATGAATGAATAGATGAAACATAAAAATTCTGAAAAGTCCCCTGAATAACGGAGATGAACCTTAAATCTACTTCCATTTTAGCATTACCGAGTTTCGTCCCCAGAGTATTTCGCGACTGTGCAGTGACAGAATCGTAAGACCTAGCGTATCGAGACCAACCATAGAAAGTTGGGCGAAACTAACCACACGACAGAGGAAAATGCGCCTCCAGGTAAATCACACGAAGTCGCCCATGCTAGACACAACAAAACGGGCCTTAAAATTCCTGTCGAGTTGAACAAAAAAAAGAGAGTCCCACTTATTACTGTAGCGTCGCAATTAGCCTGTAAGTTAAAATAAATGATCTGCATATGGATACAACTTTAGCAGAACCGTAAGAACCAGATCCCTTTCTCCCCCCCCCCCTTGTAAGATATGTACTTCACACTCATTTACTCGATTCGTAGTTCGGTCAAAGCCTGTAGGCGCCGAGCACACCCACTTTTGATACGGGGGCTGTGTCCCGGTGTATTCAGATCCCACGCTATCCCTCTTTTTTCTAAATCCACACCTTTAGAACTGTGGTTATCGAGTGTTTCCACCCTGTCGAAAAGCCATATAGCATTTACCTCTGTCGCGTTTCCAATTTTCGTTGCTGAAAATACCAAACCATTCCCCCCTCCCCCTATTTCCTCGTTTCCCCTTTGACTTTTGTATCATAAACCACCCATTCACACCCGTTTTGTCCCTACAACGACCACTTGCCACAGACCCTTGTTCTCGACCAACGAGCTATTTACGAATACCTCGTTATCTCCTCAGTATTACATGGAGTCGTCTGGAACACCGTCACCGCGGGGCCTCCAATCCCCGTCCGCCGCTACGCCACGCACCAGGTCAGTGCCACGTGGCTCTCTAGAGTGCCTCGTGGGCGTCTGCTTCCCGAGAATTGAGGAGCTGGTTCCCACGGGGACATGTCTTGCTATATCTGAAATATGAGCTGTTTGTTTATGTTGCTATTTGTCCGCGTGATTTTGCTTCTTAGAAAATGATTATTATTGTTTGCTGCCTACAGTACATCGACATAATGTTATTCAGAAAAAAATACACCAGGATTTCATAATTTTTACAGATAAACGGCTATTTATCTTAGAAGTGATGTTAGAGTAAAGCTCTGATACACACAACACACACACACACACACACACACACACACACACACACACACACACACACACACACACACACACACACACACACACACACACACACACACACACACACACACACACACACACACACACACACACACACACACACACACCTAAACGTAAGGACCCCAACGAAACACTATTCAGCTTTTTCAGAGCATGTAAACGCTCAACGAATGTCCAATGTTTTAGCCTCACAATGTGCGTCATTCACTCTCCCTCAATTTCAACCCAACTGCATGCCGGATTACAGGGAAATAAACATAATTTTTGGTATAAATCCTCCATCCATCAGAGAAAGGCGGGCAACGGACCAATTTGCAGTAGAGCTTTGGGATTCCCGACCTGCACCCCACAACTTGTATAACACTCACTGAAAAAAAGCAATATAATGGTAGTTTTGCTTCTTTGTTGTTCATTGTTCTTATTTATTTATATATCTGTTTTTTTTTTCTTCTTTTTTTTAGTTTTTAGTTTTGGTTTCAATTTTAGTTTTTGTGACTTTTTCTTTCTTCGGTGTAACTAATTGTTTTTTTTCTATGATTTGTCTATATTTGCACATAAATATTTTTCATATTTGCACATTTAGATGATCAAATATATAAGTTTATTTGATTTGCATATCTAATGTAGTGATAGTGTTGTAGCTTAGTCTTCTTTTTTAGAATAAATCTTTAAGGTTAAATGAATAGATGTACAGAGAGATAGAGAGAGAGAGAGAGAGAGAGAGAGAGAGAGAGAGAGCGAGAAGAGAGAGAGAGAGCGAGAGAAAGAGAGAGAGAAAGAAAGAGAGCGAGAGAGAGAGAGAGAGAGAGAGAGAGAGAGAGAGAGAGAGAGAGAGAGAGAGAGAGAAAGAGCGAGAACGAGAGAGATCGAGAAAGAGAGAGAGAGAGTGAGTAAAGAGAAAGAGATAGAAAGATGTAAACACGAAAGATAAGATCAACGCATCTCCCCCCCTCCCCCCCACCCAGGGCCCAGAGATCACGGTGTAACCAGACGTGCAGCCGGGTGAACGTGTCCGTCGGGACCCAGGACGACCTCCCTCCCCCAGCGGCGCCTCCGAACGACCACCCTCTTCCGACCTCCCCCGGGGCCCTCCACACCACGAGGGTCTACATCCCCGCCAT